CTTCAATTGAGTTATAGCTTTTTAAAGACAAGTTGCCTACTCGAGATGGTCTCAAATGCACTCCAATGCAATTAGAAGACAGAGGCGCGTTGATTGAAACTTTGTTCACACTTCGCGATGACGCACGTCCACATGCTACGGTTGACGGACAAGAGAGTCGTTATTTGCCGCTCTGCCGCGCGCGACATGGGCGCGGCGTTTTCTCAGTTCGTGCCAGCCTGTTGACCGGAGCACCGCATTTCAAGTGGGCTGCGAAACTGTAGACATTCATGACTGTTTTCGGTTCTACATTGCCTGTTGTCGCCACCTACGACCTGAAACCATCGTGCCTCGCGGCGCGACGTCACACGAGACGCTCATCCGCGCGGTAAATTACGATTCTCTTGTCACGTACCTACATGCTACCACTGCAATAGCGCTACAATGTAGACGGAAACGCTGTCGTAGACAGTTATCGATCGGCGCATGTATTCTAGGGGGGGTTGGGGTATTAGGAGGGTGGTTGGTTAGCCACGCAGTCTGCTATAGATCAGCTCTGGTGTTTTGGGAGAGTATAGGAGTAAAGGAAGGTATCAGACCAGGTGAATTTAGAGAACTTAGAGCCTATCCTCCTATTGTCCAATACTCTGTCGAAACTCAAAACAGCCCCTATAGCGCCTCGGTCTGCGCCCATGGAAATGAATTGGATCGAATTTGAAACGCCACTGCTGCGGTAGCGCATCGACGCGCGTCATCGCGAAGTCTGAGCGCTTGCTTTCCCTCAAGACCTGTTTACCCGCCTTTCGCTAGTAGCCTGAAAGTGGATCCTGAGCTAAGTCTTCCATATCGGAAAGCGACTATCACTCAACGCAACAACAATAGTTAGACATAACATTTATCAATTTATCAGAGATAAAAAGAGTAGCAATGAGAAAGACAACAGTTCAAATGGCAGGAGATCAAACTCGTTTATCACAGTCTATAAGGAACTATTCCATGTGTCCATGTTGCGCCCTGAACCGCACGATATAGTTGATACAGTCTCCTTCGCTGGGCCGTTCCAGGGTGGTTGGGTTTGGCGAGGTGCCAGCCCGTTCTCCACCAATTATGGTCGCTTAGCAGCTTCCACAAATGGTGAAGAACAGGTTGATGCCGCGCCAAACGAAGCCCCCTAAAGCGCCCCAGCGTCCGTAACGGTCAAGACTGTAGATGTTGCGTACCAAAGAACTGGATTATGTAATGATGGATCGCACGTTCACAGTGCAGCAAATCGGCTGAACCATCGAACCAATCACCAAGTGTCCTTCTCGTACACCTTAAAAATCAAATTTCCGATTTCCGATATTCGTAAACCTTAGGCGCCACGCGCAGAGCAGTACCCAAGCTCACTCTACAGCATTTTTCATTTGGCCCGGGGCAAACAACGAGAAGGTTACCCGCCGCTTGGCTACGGCCCTTTTTTCTATCCTTCGATTTTCCAATGCGCGACACCGAATGCGTGCGAGAGACAGATCATGCGCCTCCTCTAGCTGCCCCCACGCCTCTACTCACCACAGTGATGGGTGACAAAGAGCGGGCATCATGGCTTATTCTCCGTACCCCGCCACTACAGCATTAGCTTGGAACGTCCACCTTTCATAACCCTTGACCAGGAAAGAGAAATCACCAGTTCGCCAGCTCATCTGGTCATCCTCTAACTTTCTTGGCCCATCGACTAAGGCTAGGTTCCATACTTTGCAGCACCCTCCACCCCAGACCGTCAACCGCGTCCAGCAGCCGCCACGCGACTCAGGAAGTGTCAAGTAACTCCACTCAGCATCTCGTCAGGTCTCCACCAGCGTATCGCCAGCAGCTCTGCGAAGCTGGAATTATGAGGGCAATAGGAGCGGTAGCAGACAGCTCGGGGGTACTTCCTATTGCCCCGTACTCTCCATCGGCAGTCTGCTACCTCCCTTATTTCCCCATACTCTCCCTCCCGGACGCCGCCGGTCGATCGTTGTCTATACTTTCCTAGATGCTGGAGTCGTCGAACGCTAACAACGCTGATGAATGCTATTGGTTGCTTGTGGACGCTGCCGCGAAGTATGAACGCAGCCTTAGGCTTGCGTTCACGCAGAGGCAGAGTTCGCACAAGGGGGACATGGAAAGTGAGCCGATCATATGGTCCAGTTGCTCTATTTTCCTGATCATTTGACGAATATAAGTCGGCTACCTGCTATCGACTGTTCAATAAAATGTGACTTACCACGGCTATCACAATGCTGAGCTATGGGCAGAAGTATGACCCCAGGCGGGACTCGAACCAGCACCTCACGCTTTCCGGGACAGTGCGCTTATCCTTACGCCACCAGGGTTACTCTAGGAATCGTGAGGTGCGGGTTCGAGTCCCGCCTGAGGATCAAACTTTCGCCCATGACTCAGCATTCCTTCGATAACTTTTGAGCGCGAACCGCGGCGTTAAATGCTGTTATCATAATGAAACAACTTACCACAGCGTTGCTTGCTGAGATGGTAGCGCCGTCGTTAGCGTAAGGCTCCGTAATCACCCAACTTACGCCGTCTTCCTAAAGAGCAGGATAAATCTGACACACTTGAAGATGGAGAGGATGAAGTGGTGACACAAGGGGTTAAACTACCTGCATTCTGACCCTCAACACCTGACTTGGGCTGCGAATTCTCTCATCAGATGGATTGAGCGTGACAAGGAAGACCTGATGGAGTACCGGATGTAGAGCTATCCAAATGTCGCCTGAACATTGATGAAGAAAGAATTACCTTGATTGCTTTGGTGGAATGCGCCATGCACAAGTTTTAATCGCATCATTACTAGGTTACTGTTAGAGCCCAATGACATTTACATCTCCATTCCGAGCAGCTAGGGTGGGCGGAATGCAGGCGGGCCGACACTGTAGGTCCCATCGCAAACATTGAACAGGAGGTACAATCGATCTTTACCAGAACCGTCGCGCCATTTGGCCGCGCTGGACTGTGTGCGGCACGTGCGGTGGAGCTGAGCGCTGCACGACGGGGCCTAATGATACACGTCCTGTTTTTGAAGAGATCAGGTCTATTAGCAAACTTATTAGTGGCTCTCGGTAGCTATGCTTTAGTTCTGGAAGTTGTTTTCTCATTCTTTGCGGTAATTTTGATTTGAGGAGCGTAGAAGTTAAGGGGTAAGTGTTAAATCAAAAATTAGGTGGAAATCAACATATACAATAGCCTGTCATCGACGGGTAGACCTACAGCCTCTGAAATCGATACGGTCGCTAAAATACGCTCCGCCTACCGCTGCTCTCCGATATGATAATTCTGGAATAGCGTTAACTTTGGACTGAATCCCCATCCTTTTAGTTGTCCTGTCAAGGCGCTCTCTATCGGCCATTGTGAGGCATAGTCCACGCCGATAAGATGGGCGGAGTTAGGTGTACCATTCAGTGCACGTTCTTCGTTGGGTAATCCCCAGCGGGGGAGATCGTACTTGGTGCGAGAAAAAATGTTTCTTGATAGTTAAAATTTTTTAAATTTTCTTATAGAGAGAGGGGTCGTAATTAATTGCGAGAAAACTCGCCGCGTTGCGAATAGCTTTTCCAGTTGTTGAATTTTCGCGGTTGCCCCCGCCCCTCCTTTTCGACGGCAAAACCAAAATTTTAAGGCGAAGAAAAGTTTTAGGGAAATTTCGGAAAATGGTGTGGGAGGGTGGGAAAAGTCGGATAATGGGGAGGGGGGAATCGTAGCAGTGAGGGGAGAGGGGTTGTATTCTCCGAAAATTTCCCGTGCCGCAGGACGTGCCATGCCGCCATTGTACCTTTGTCATTGCTCCGCCTTTACATAACAAACAGTGGGTGAAAAAAAAGTGGGCGCACTAATTAGAGAGGCAGAATGGAGGTCTGACCCCGCCCATGCGACCAATGTGGACTGTGAACAAAACTAACAAAGGGGTCAGTCTCAAGCGACAGCAGCATTCCGATGTCATTGCCAACTGTAGAAAAATCGCTCCTCACCTGACTCTTCGTCCACATGCATTCCTGCCGGGGAGGAGAGCAACGAGATCTGGGTCCGGAACGTGAGCGAGAAGTCTTTTTCCAACTTGTATACGCGGAATATTCTGAACCAGAATTATTAGGGGAAAACAAATACAGCCTTGTTCCCTGCAGATGCTGGGGCGTGCTCAGGGAGGCTGGCACTTGCCAGCCAGCACCTAACCAGTATTTCCACCATTTGTGAGCTGTCCGGCGTAGCACAAATTTGGGAATAATGGTACGGGCTTTGTGCCAAATCTTTTGGCACGCCTCAGCGACAGCGAACAAGACGGGAGAATTTGTGGGGCCGACCGTTACTCACCTCGTTAAAAATGGAACCAACAAAGATCAACTGCCGTCGCCGGTCAATGGCAAGCGCCGATGGCGACGAAAGTCGTGATTCCTGCAGTGAAACCCGCAGCCCATCAAAAGAAAGTACGAGAGCGCCCGAAACTGCCCTGAAACACATCGGGTGAGTACATTGTTATTTGCCACTAAGGAGCCATGCATTCATGCCACTTGAGCTAAGAGAAGGCACGCACGTCGCGTTGTGATCAGTTCCTGAAAAATACGATCCCCCCTAATTCTATCCTCAAAATGTCACCTTCCTTGTTCCTGGACTTTCCCAACTTCCTGATACTTTTTCCATTTTTCCCTTAAATTCCGTCGAGAGAGGAAGGGGAGGGGGAGGGAGGGCGGGGAATATATACCCTTATGACACAGGAAAACTTCTCAGATCTTCCCTAACCTCCTACCAGTTTTTCCGAAATTTCCTCGTGGTTTTCCCCAAAATTTTACTCGAGCGGGGTGGGCGGGGGAGAGAGGTCGTCCAGGGTTTGCGACCCCCTTATAGCCGTCCGTGAAACAGTAGAACCAACAACCAAGAAAAAGTTTTTGCTACCATATACGATTCCCACCACTCCTCGCGGTCAAATACGACCCCTCCCCACGTTTTGTTAATCACAAAAGATGGCGTGCCTTGCTGAGAGGGCTGAAGACGCGGCCCTGGTGCATGACGGACTAGCGCAACACGGAATGCTTGAATGCGTGGGTTTCAAGTTCTCTTTGCGGGCTTCAGACTTTTGCCAACTACTCAGCATTCTTGTGAGATGGGGGATATCTATTAAGGGACCCATGCATTGTCACGCGAAGTAGCGGCAGTTCCACTGCCTCATACTCGTCAGTAAAGTGAATATAAACCTTCTATCTGCTCTTTCATCTTGCTCCCTCACTATCTCTCATGCCGCCCCTGAAAGCGCATTCCACACTAGTCATATGGGCGGGTACACTCAACCGTTGTGCCTTACTCACTGACGCGGCTTTGCTCTTTATCTTATAGCACGGCCGATGGAAATACCAATAATCGGCCCAGCTCCCGCCCACATGACCAGCGTGGAATGTGCCTTCGAAAGTATCCAGAACCACTACTGAAAGAGTCAAGGATACCTGCATCGCCAGTTCAGCAGTCTGCAGGTGGCCTCTCGACATATATGCCAGATTAGTGATGAAGAAACGATCCGCTCCAACCACCACGATATCAGAAATGCTGAAAAATCAAATTTTGAGCAAAAAAAGGAAAAAATGTAGCTGGGGGTCAACACGCGACACATACTGTTCCACGTCATGTCTGCTTGCCTGTCTTGCTGCTCCTTTTTGAAGTTTTGACACAGTTCAGAGGGCGTGACACACATGGTGTGTCACAGCAGACTACAAAACAAAAGGTCACACGTGAACGACACGTAACATTAGCGTTGGTCCAGAACATGCTAAAATAGCTCCCTACGTCACTATTCTACTCGATGAGAGGGCGCAGACAAGCAGACAAGAAGTGAAACCGTCTTCTAGTCAACTCCCCACTCTATATATTCCGGAGAAAAATTATTCCGAGAGTTATTCAAACTGCGGATAAAATTACCTGGAGAATCTCGGATCGCAGACGGATTTTCTATGGAATAGAACATTCTTCTCTTTGTGATAGGTAAAAATCTCTACACATTGCCGATTTGGATGAGTATTGACGACGTACAATGAGATACGCCCCTTACTGTAATAAGACGACAATCCGAGTGGAATGAATTCTTCCTGAAAAAATTCATTTTCTCCTAGAAATGTCTAGAGGTTCGAAGGATTTCGTTTCCTTCGCTTTCCCCGCTTCACCGAAGGAGTTTTGAGAAAACGAGATTAAGGTTACACTTTGACGCAGTTCCGCTCGAGGGGGGGGGGAGAGCATTTTGCAAGTCTGCCACTTCCGACGACTGGTTCCTTACTTGACAAGAGCAGACAGGTATATTTAACAAGCATCCCACAGGCTTCAGGGCACATCGTTGTTGGGGAATCCCCAATTAGGGGAGGTCGTATTTTGGCCGCCAGGAGAGGGCGGGTCGTATAGGGATGAGAAAAAAATTATTTTGATATTGTTTGATTTTTCCTCATTCACGGACGTGTGTAAAGCGGGAGGGGTGCGTTACTTGTCATTGCTGGGAGGGGATCGTATTTAGTTTGGATCGCCTCGCGTGTAGGGCGCTCCCGGAGTGGTGGTTGACTTTGGTGATTTTCCTGCTTCATGCGTACTATATGCTCCCTTCCCCCACCCCCTCCACTCGACAGCAAAATTTTTGAGGAAAAGAACTTTTCGTCGAGAAACATTCTTGGGAAAAAGTGGCCAGCGAAGTTGGGAAAAAGCCTGAAAATGGTAGAGCGGAGTCGTATTGTCTCGCGACTTCTCTTACCCCCGCCCCCTCGACGACTTGATTCGATGAGGAGGGACAGAAGGCCTGAGAGGGGGGGTCGTACCAAAAGAAAAGGGGGGGGGTCGTACAGACTCAACTAAAATCCCCAACCAATGATGTGCCCTGTTCACAAGATTACACAATTCTCCGATCTCACGTCGACGGCTCGAACGCTTCTCTAGCGCGAAGAGCAAAAGTAGAATGTGCCCCCCCCCCCCAAAAGTCCGACTGTGCCTACGTTTTTTATTTATTAGGATTCCTATGACGTCACAAATAAAAGTCCTAGAATTGTATGTTTCCCGTATGGTTGAGCGGCACTTTGGGGGGGGAGGCATTGAGGATTTTTCAATTCTCCCCTTCTTGAGGGAATCGCAAATATATCCATGCACCAAAACACGCCTCATATCCCAGAGCTGAGGAGGGCGTGGCCGCACGCTTCAATTGAGTGTGGCGTAGAAGGGATATTTCCGCTCGAGACAACTGCCATCTTCTCTTGTGGTACACGAAAACAGAACTGCAGTAGCACAAAATGAAAATATCTCACTAGAAGCGCAGTCGCTTCCACATTCGAATAAAGTAAGCGGCCACGCCCTCCTCAACTCTGGGATAAGGAGTTTGTCTATGCGAATCCCCTTCCCCCCATGACCTATCTTGTTGTCAACTACTACCACAAAAAAAATTCAAATTTACTCACTTCGTCGAACTTCTCGCCTTCAATTCGAATAGGTTTCGCTTCGTGCTTCGCCATTTCCTTCTCGAGTTGGAGCACTGCCAAACCGGGTCGTAACGTCAGATTACCGTAAGCCCGTGCGAGTCCCGTAGTAATAAAAACCAAGCCGACTTCGGTAACGATTTCGAGGCCAGCCGCACCATCACCTGAAGGAAGAGAGTTTCTGAAGGGTTTATACTCTATGTCGGCACCAGTGAGTTTCGTTGTGGTGTGCGCCATGCATCTATCACTGCACATTGGATAGGAGTGATTGATTGTTCATCTAGTTTCACACAACTTATGATGCGGGTTCTTGAAGACAGCGAGCACGATGGCTGAGGTCGGGCGGTTATGGTCAACGTAACTGGTGAAAGGGCAGAGCGGGGTGTGGACAAACACCCTCTCGCACCCCCTCTACCAAGTACATTGGCGAACGGCTCGCCCCCAGCCATTGTGCCCACTGCCTTTGAGCAATGACTTTTCTTCCTCTATTTCCGAGATTCTAATTGTCATTAGGTTAAGTTCGAGATTTTTCCAAGAGATTCACCGAATATGGACTGCGCACCCCTCCCAGAGGTCCCAGAGGCAGATCCCGCCGTTATCATGAGAGCCAGAGGTGCACGTACTAAGGCAGCGTTCAGACTTCGCGACGGCAGCGCTTCGGTCGCGCGTTCGACGCGATCGATGCAGTCGAAAGCATGCGCATCGATCGCGCGAACGCGCGACCGAGCGCTGCCGTCGCGAAGTCTGAACGCTGTCTGAGAGGATGGGACTTCTCGTAAGAGGGCAAAGGGGATCACTTTGAGAGAAACCTTCAAGGAATGCACTCCCGAGTTCAATCTATATTCAGCGC